TGCAGTGGCCGGGAGCGGGCCACTGCACTCCAGTCTGGGCGACAGAGTGAGACTCCAACTCAAAAAAAAACAACAAAAAAAGAATCCTATCTCATTAGATTTGGGGCGTTTTTTATTTGTCTTTTTTGCATTCCCCTGATCCCTAGTAAAGTTGATTACTATTTTAAATAGAGATTTTTAAATAATAAAACTCTGTGAAATTATTAGTTGAGCTTAGTGTGATTAGCTGGAGGGGCATGGTTTATTCCCATTTCCCACATGAGGAGAACTGAGGCCCAGGAGGAAGCAGTTAGTTGCCTAGGGTCATATGGCACTTTGACACTGGAGGCAGGGTTGCAGCCTGGCTCTGCATCCACTGTGCTACTCCTGTTTGCTAGGGCTGGCTGGAGGCAGGGACCACCTGGGCACCCTGTGAGGAGAGAGGGCCTACTGCTCTCTCCAGAACCAGCTTCTTGTTCTCCTCTCCTATCCCAGAGCCCAATCTGGGGGAAGACGATGAGGACAAGGACTTGGAGCCAGGCCCATCAGGAACCTCGAAGGCCTCAGCCCAGATCTCCGGCCAGTCGGACACAGACATCACAGCCGAGTTCCTCCAGCCTCTGCTGACACCTGATAATGTGGCCAATCTGGTGAGGATGGGTGGGGGCCATTTTCCCCCAGGATAAGGAGGAAGGATCTCCTAGTCCTTTCACCTGCGTCCACTCCATACTGTCCACCCCTTGCAGATGATGTTGGTTCCATGAGGGGTGGCCCAGAGGGTTCTTTTAACCTCTTTTCTGACCCTTAGTCCCTCACTTGGCATCACCTCCCAGTAGGCCTTCTTTGGGTGGTCTGAGTCCCCATCCAAAACCACTTACTCTTACGCTCTATCTCTCCTTTCCTTTGAAGAGAGATTCTGTTCACTGGAGAGTTGGGGGAAGGGGGTCATGAACCCCATAAATGTTTTGATTGTTTGCTAATGATGTGTAATTAATGAGGTATTGGTGGGCTGGGATGGCACAGCCCCCATTTGCTACATGACTGGCCTCCTTGAGAAGAGCACTCTCCACGTGGCTGCTTGGCGCCTTAGCTTTTTAAGGCACAAATTGTTGTCGTCCTCTGCTCACATTCCTGCCATGGCTCTCTAAGGAAGATTTAAATAGATAAAATTTAAGTTCAGCTTTCCTCAGTAGGCCCTCTGATCTAACTTTCGTTCCCTTGTTCTATTTTTTTCTATCATCACACTCTCTTTTTTCAGTCAGAGTCTCACTCTGTTGCCCAGGCTGGAGTGCAGTGGCATGCTCACAGCCTGCTGGGCTCAGGCGATCCTTCCGCCTCAGCTTTCCAAGAAGCTGGAACCACAGGCACATGCTACCATCCCCAGCTAAGTTTTTTCTTTTCTTTTTTTTTTTTTTTGAGTTGAAGTCTCACTCTGTCGCCCAGACTGGAGTGCAGTGGCCGCTCCCAGCCACCGCAGCCTCGACCTGCTGCGCTCCAGCGATCCTTCCGCTTCAGCCTTCCAGTAGCTGGAATTATAGGCATGTGCTACCATGCCCGACTGATTTTTTTGATTTATTATAGAGATGAGGTCTCGCCAAGTTGCCCACGCGGGTCTCGAACCCGCGGGCTCAGGCAATTCACTCACCTCAGCCTCCCAAAGGCGCGGGATTACAGGCTGAGCCACCGAGCCCGGCTAATTTTTCTTTTTTTGAGTTTGCGCCTCACTCTGTCACCCAGCCTGGAATGCAGTGGCACACTCATGGCCACCACAGCCTCAACCTGCTAGGCTCAGGTGATCCTTCCACCTCAGCCTTCCAAGTAGCTGGAACTACAGGCACGTGCCATCACACTTGGTAATTTTTTGGTTTATTGTAGAGGTGAAGTCTCACCAAGCTGCCCGGGCTGGTCTTGAACCCATAGACTCAGGCAATCCTCTCACCTCAGCTTCCCAAAGTGCTGGGATTATAGGCATAAGCCACTGCGCCAAACTATTAGTGTCCCTCTTTCAAGCATTGCACTGTGTCATTCCTTGTTTTCTCTCTGACTACCCCAAGAGGCTGAGCTCCATGAGAGCAGACCCAGGTCGGTCTTAGTTGCTGACACTTTCCCAGCATTGGCCTGGGCATGGAATGAGTGCTTGCTGAGTTGATGGTTTATGAGAGGCTCCTCTTCCTGGGCATCCCGCAGGTCCTCATCAGCATGGTATACCTGCCTGAGACCATGCCTGCCTCCTTCCAAGCCATCTACACCCCCGTGGAGTCAGCAGGCACTGAGGCCCAAATCAAGCACCTGGCTCGGCTTATGGCCACACAGATGACAGCTGCGGGACTGGGACCAGGTGAGTATCTTCTGGAGCTGACTTGGGCCAGGGACTGACTGGCATTTGTGGCTACTATGTTCTTCTTACTGAAAGAATACCTTCTTATGGTGGTGCAGCTGAAAATCACGTGAGTGCTTCTGTGTCAACAATTACAGATCCTGTAGATAGATTAAGGTCTTGGGCTTTGAAATGCAACAGACCTGGCTTTAAGGTCTGAGTTGTACCAGATGTTCTCATCCATTTAATAGCTGTGTGGTTTGGTCAAGTTACTTAACCTTTCTGAACCTCAGAGTTTTTCCCCATTTTAACAGTACTATTGAGTTATATGTACAGTGACATGCATTCTCTTTTGTTTTTTGTTTTTTTAATTCATTTTTTGATTTGGGGTTCTCACTTTGTCGCCCAGTCTGGAATAGTGGCACAATCACAGCTCACCACACAGCCTTGATTTCCTGGGTTCAGGCGATCCTCCTGCCTCGGCTTCTCGAGTAGCTGGGACTATAGGCATGCATTACCACACCTGACTGGTTAAAAAAAAATTTTTTTTTTTTTTGAGTTGGAGTCTCACTCTGACACCCAGACTGGAGCGCAGTGGCCGCTCCTGGCCACCGCAGCCTCAACCTGCTGGGCTCTGGCGATCCTTCCGCCTCAGCCTTCCGAGTAGCCGGAACTACAGACATGCGCTACCACGCCCGGGTGATTTTTTGATTTATTGTAGAGATGAGGTCTCGCTGCCCAGGCGGGTCTCGAACCCGTGGGCTCAGGCAATCCACTCACCTCAGCCTCCCAAAGGTGCAGGATTACAGGCTGAGCCACCAAGCCCGGCTTAAAAAATTTTTTTTTAGAGATAAGATCTTGCTATATTGCCCAGGCTGGTTTCGAACTCATGGGCTCAAGCAATCCTTCTGCCTCAACTTCCTAAAGTGCTGGGATCATAGGCGTGAGCCACCACACCTGGCCTATACAACTCTTCATTGTACACTTTAGTGAATTTTCACAAAGTGAGCATACCAGTGTAACTTCCGCCCGGATCAAGATGCAGGTTGAATATTCCTTACCCAAAATGCTTGGGACACAAGTGTTTCGGATTTTGGGTTTTTTTGGATTTTGGAATACTTGCATATACATAATGAGATATCTTGGGGATGGGACCCAAGTCTAAACACAGAATTCATTTATGTTTCTTGTATACCTTATATATATAGCCTGAAGGTAATTTTATATATTTTTAATAATTTTGTGCATGAAACAAAATTTTGACTGCAACCTGTCACATGAAGTCAGCTATGGAATTTTCCACCTGTGGCATTATGTAGATACTCAGAAAGTTTTGGATTTTGAAGCATTTTGGATTAGAGAAGCCCCGCCTGTATAGACCATTTCCACCACTATAGAAATCTTGTTCCTCTCCAGTCGCACTCAGGGTTCCCAACTCCAGTGATAACCACTCTTCTAATTTCTGCCTCCATAGATTTCATTTGACCTATTCACTATCATATAAATAGCATCACAAAAAGTATGAACTTTTGCTCACCATAAGTTCTTGAGATTCATCCATATCATCGTGAAAACTAGTTTGACAACTGAAGTCATATTACTTTATATGAATATACAAATAAAATTTTTTTTGTCATGCTCCTGTTGGTGGACCTGTGGCTGGTTTCCCGTTTTTGGCCATTGTAACCAAGTCTGTGGATTCACACCTGCTCTTATCTGTCTTGGTATATTCTAAGGAGTGGACTGGTTGGTCATTGGTTAAGTTAGTGCTATTAACATTGCATCATGCTTCCGAAGTGGTTGCACCATTTGTCACGCCCACCAGCAGTGAATGGCGTTTCTAGTTTGAGCCTCGGTTACCATATTGCAAAGTGGGGGTAAAGAGAGCACCCATCCTAGGAAGGCATTTTGCAAGTGTAAATAAGGTTTTGTGTGTACACAACTCAGAACACAGCCGGCACACAGGAGGGCCCTGGGTCGGAGCAGGTGGGCTTGATGTGCAGGACCCACATGCTGTCTCCCACTCAGGTGTGGAGCAGACCAAGCAGTGCAAGGAGGAGCCCAAGGAGGAGAAGGTGGTGAAACCAGAGAGTGTCTTGATCAAGCGGCGCATGCCAGCCCAGGGCCAAGCCATCTCAGTGGTGGGCTCCCTGAGCTCCATGTCCCCCCTGGAGGAGGAGGCGCCCCAGGCCAAGAGAAGGCCAGAACCCATCATTCCTGTCACACAGCCCCGGTGAGTCCCCTTCAGGTGCCGGGGCAGGATGGGAGTCCTATCTCGGGGTCCAGTTCTCAGCTTGTGTGTGTGCATGAATGTGAGGCAGACAGGAAGTCTCACCAGGTTCTCACTGACTCCTGAGTCAGTGCTGTAACCACGAAACCTTTGTTTCCTGTAAAAACGCCCCCTCTTGTATGTCTAAATTTGGGATGATAGTATTTTCTCATAAGAATCAAGGAAGAATTAAATTGGTTCACAGTGATGGTTAGGTAACTAGATTAGCTAACTCTTGAGTTAACGCGATTGTGATTGAAAAGCATTTTACATGGTTCCTGACGTGTTATCACCATCACTGTGCTCATTGGTACCTCCCTTGCAGACCACAAAAGCAAGCCAGTTCTGTCCCAGCCCAGGCTCCACCCAAGCCTTGCTAACACAGCTGAGCGTGTTCTGCTCCCCTCTCTGCCTCCTCCAGTTCCCCCACAAGCAGGTCCCCACTTCAAGGTCTTTGCCCTTCCTTTTTTTTTTTTTTTTAATTTTTAATTTTCAAGATGTGGGATACAATTCAAGGTTAGGTATACAAATGTTCATTATGCAGGTACCCTTGTTGATGAGGTATGCCCCCACCCACCCCTGGCAGTTTCCCACTACTGCCGTTCCCAACCCCCCTTCCCTGGCAGTTTCCCATTACTACCAATGGTCCTTCCTTTTCTTGCCTGGAAAGCTCTTCTCCAGATATTCAGGCCTCTTATTCCTCCCTTCATCCTAATCTCCACTCACATGCTGCCTCATCCTAATCTCCACTCACACGCTGCCTCTTTAGATGCCTTCCCTAAGATACCCTGTACAAAAACAAAATAACATCTTCTTCCTCACTCCTACCCCTCACCCTGCCATGCCTCCAAGTCATAGGAGAGATGAGGAGGCAGCAGGGGGCATCTCTGTGTGGCCTGCCTGGTCCCTGAGGTGGGGAGAGTCAGTAGATGGGCCTGGACTGCAGGAAGGATGCTCTGAGTCATCCTGTCCCTGCTCTCTCACATAGGCTAGCAGGTGCTGGCGGGCGCAAGAAAATCTTCCGTCTCAGTGACGTGCTGAAGCCCCTGACCGACGCCCAGGTTGAGGCCATGAAGCTAGGTGCTGTGAAGCGGATCTTGCGGGCTGAGAAGGCTGTGGCCTGCAGTGGGGCCGCCCAGGTGTGTTCCTGCCCTCCCCCAGCCCATCCTTCCAATCCCTCTCTCCAAGAGCTTAACTCACATCCCAGCGAAGAGTCTGACCCTGGGGTCAGAACTCCCTGGCTGCAGACCCCTGCCCTGCTGCTCATGGCCATTCTCCAGCCTCGCTCCTGTCCTCCCTAAAAGACCATTGCAGCAACTCCTCACAGGAGATGAAGAAGAATGTGCAGGTGCGCACGTGTGTTTGATCAGTACAGTGTGGGGTGCTGGAGCCTCTGTAAGTGACGGCTGCATCTGTGCTCTGGGGTCTTTGTGGCTGTTAACATTCTTCTTATTACTATTATTTAGATTCAGACATCTTGCTTTTAAATCCTGATTCTGCCATTTGCTGGTGGTGTTACCTCAGTCAAGCTACTTTTTCCCCATTCTTTGAAGTAAATTTTTAATTAACTGGTAGTATATGCTCTGCGTTTAAAAATATTTCTGGGCCAGGCGCAGTGGCTCAAGCCTATAATCCCGGCACTTTGGGAGGCTGAGGCGAGAGGATTGCCCGAATCTGCAGGTTTGAGACTGGGCAACATGGTAAGACCTCGTCTCTACAATAAATCAAAAAATTAGCTGGGCATGGTAGCACACACCTGTAGTTCCGGCTTCTTGGAAGCCTGATGCAGAAGGATCGCCTGAGCCCAGCAGGTTGAGGCTGTGGTGGCCGGGAGTGTGCCACTGCACTCCAGTCTGGCTGACAGAGTGAGACTCCAACCCCCAAAAAAAAATTTCTGGGCACCACAGATACAATACAGTCTTCCTTGGCCATCACCTATAACCTCTCCCCCTCCTCAGAGGTGACCAGTATACCAGAGGGGAATCTTGGTGGGATCTTTTTCTGTACACTTAAGTACGTGGATACTACTCCAGAACCTCATTTCTATTCTGTGATGTCTGACCCTCATCCCTCCCCACCACACAAATGGGACCTATGGGCACAGGGTCTTCAGCTTGTCCTTCTCACTTAACACTGTGTCTGCTCTGGGGTTCTGGATCCTGGGTGGGAGGAATTGTAGGGCAAACTGTGGGGTTTCCCAGGATTGCCCACCCCCAGAATAACATGTTGAGTTGCCCTCCACCCAGGTGCGCATAAAGATCCTGGCCAGCCTGGTAACACAGTTCGACTCGGGCCTGAAGGCTGAGGTCCTGTCCTTCATCCTGGAGGATGTGCGGGCCCGCCTGGACCTGGCCTTCGCCTGGCTCTACCAGGAGTACAACACCTACCTGGCAGCTGGTGCCTCAGGAATCCTGGACAAGTATGAGGACTGCCTCATCCGCCTGCTCTCGGGCCTGCAGGAGAAGCCAGACCAGAAGGATGGGTAAGGGACATGGCCCTGCAACCACCATCCCCGAGAGTCCCATCGTCTGTGTCCTGCCCTCCCTTTCTGGTTTCTGATTACCTACTCCTTTGTCACCACCAGAGTCAGTCTTCCACACACCCCTCCCAAGCCTCCCTTCTGCCTCCCCCTCTGTGGAAGCCCACATAGGTTGTAACTTTCAGTGTGGGCTCTGGCTTGCGCCCCCTAGGCTTGCTCCCAGCTCTGCCACTTACTTTGAGTATTCTGTGTCACTCACCCTCTGTACCTCTGTTTTCCCACCTGTTGGTGACAGTGCCTACCTCCTGGTCTTGTTTTGGAGATGGACTTCTCTACTCTCCAGTTCTTGCCTGCATTGCTTCTGTAGCTTCCTTCCTGTTCTTGGCCTCTAGCTTAGCCATTGCCCTCCACACAGCAGCTCTGGGGAAGTGGATTATGTAAATTCTTGTTACTGCCCCACTAAGAACTCGCCACGTTTCTCCATTGCATCTAGGATAAAATACAAGCTCCTTACTGTGGGCAGTGAGGCCTTATGTGATCCAGCCTCTTTAGCCTCTTTTTTGGGGGTTTCTTTTGCCACCTTGGCCTTCTGTCTGTTCTCTAAACATGCCAAGTTCAGGGCCTCAACACTTACTGTCCTGTCCACCTGGAATGTTCTCCCCACCCATCCCCTGACTCTTTGTGCCAGTGTCAACTCAAATGTAATCCTACCTATCTAAAATATACCAGTACCCATCTCATCCCCATCATTCCCTCCCATTGCTATATTAGATGAATGAAGTTAGGAGTCCCCATTTGATAACAGGGAAGAAATGAGTTTCAGATCACCCAGCTGGCAGACTTTGAACCCTGGCTCACCTCCAGAGCTCTGTGACCACATGTCGAACAAGCTGTCTCTGAACTCCTGCAATCCAGCAGGACTAGGAAGCCACGTGGCCTTTCTGCAGCTGTGCCCTCCCTACCTCCCTACCTCCCTGGCAGGATCTTCACCAAGGTTGTGCTGGAGGCACCACTCATTACTGAGAGCGCCCTGGAGGTGATTCGCAAGTACTGTGAGGACGAGGTGAGCACAGCTGCGGTGCAGCAAGAGCCCTGCTTGTGACAACCTGTAGTGGGGGACAGGGCCCTGCCTTGGGGGGTCTGGAGGATGGATACACAGTCTAGACCTTGTGACAGAGGGTCCATGAGAGACCAGGCCCTTCCGTCCAGATACCTGACCGAGGAAGGCAGAAGAGACAGAGCCCAAAGGCACACTGCAGGTGGGCTGAGCCTTGGTCTCCTCCCTCTTGCCGCAGAGTCGTACCTATCTGGGAATGTCCACGCTCCGAGACCTGATCTTCAAGCGCCCATCCCGCCAGTTCCAGTACCTGCATGTCCTCCTAGACCTCAGCTCCCATGAGAAGGACAAGGTGATCCTGCCACCACATGCTGGGTGACACTCAGCCAGCAGTCTGCAAAATTCCCTGTCCTGAGTCACTAACCCAGCCTCATCCACATTCCCCTGAAAGTTTCTCTCTGGGCCAAATGTCCTTCTTGCAATAGTTTTTTGGTTGTTATTGGGTTTTTATTTTTTGTGAGGTTCCCCCCCCCCCTTTTCAGTGATTGTGAAACTGCTTAGACGCTAGGGATACTGTGCTTGACGATTGCTGCAGTGTGTATACACAAGCATGTGTGTGCTTGCCCTCCTGGGAAGGGCAGTCCCATGCTCACTCTTCCTCCACCTGTGTTGGTGAGCGCCTCAAGGCCTGGGGTGCTGATGAGTAAAGGAGCTGGTACGATCTCTCAGCAGGCAGTGAGGACACAGCGTGCTCAGGGCCTAGAACAGGGTAGCATGTGGCTGCAGGAGCCTAGGGCAGTCAGGGCAGAGGAAGCGTTTTAAGGAAGGCTTCCTAAAGGAGAAGGGATATGTGAGCTGATGCCTGAAAAATGAGTAGGCAAGTGTGCTCTAGACAGGACGAGTATGCGCCTGCTATGGTTGAGTGGGGCCCCTGGACCCATCTCTGCTGCAGCCCTTGGCCAGCACCCTCACCTGGCAGCATGTGTGTTTGTTCTGCAGACCTTCCCTGCACACCTCTGGCCCTGACCCTGGGCTACTATTGGGGACAAAGCAGTGCCCAAGACCAGCCCATGCCCTCATGACCCTCCAGTGGATGATGGTTGAGTGACAGAATTTAGCCAGCGACAGGCATTCTGGAGAGACTGGGCCGGGAATGTCACTTTTTTTTTTTTTTTTTTTGAGTTGGAGTCTCACTCTGTCACCCAGACTGGAGTGCAGTGGCCGCTCCCAGTCACCACAACCTCGACCTGCTGGGTTCCAGCGATCCTTCTGCCTCAGCCTTCCAAGTAGCTGGAACTACAGGCGCGTGCTACCACGCCCGGCTAATTTTTGATTTATTGTAGAGATGAGGTCTCGCCAAGTTGCCCAGGCATGTCTCGAACCCGCGGGCTCAGGCAATCCACTTACCTCAGCCTCCCAAAAGTGCTGGGATTACAGACTGAGCCACCGAGCCCAGCTGGGAACGTCACTTTTGAGGAGCTTAGGAACACTTGCCCTGCTTGGAGCATGGTGAGCGTGGCAGGGAGTGTGGGAGATGGGGTGAGGAGCAGACAGCAAGGTGAGGATGCGGGCCCTGCCTTGGGCTAGGATGCCTCCCTCCTGAGCTGATGGCCACTGGGCACATGTTACAGCTGGGCTGGGCCTTTCTCAGGCTCAGGCTTGTTTTCACACGAATGCTGCCAAGCTCGGGAGAACAGCCGACCCCTTTCCCTGAACCCCGCTCCTCTCCATTGTGCCCTACTCTCCCCAGGTGCGCTCTCAGGCCCTGCTCTTTATCAAGCGCATGTATGAGAAGGAACAGCTGCGAGAGTACGTGGAGAAATTTGCCCTCAACTATCTACAGCTCTTGGTCCACCCCAACCCGCCGTCTGTGCTGTTTGGAGCCGACAAGGACACAGGTTGGGCGCAAGCTCATCAGATGTGTATCAACCACCTGCTGTGTCCTGGGCTCTGGGCCCTGGGAGCAGGGGAGGATAAAGCTGAGCCCTGCCCGTTGACTAGAGCAGCAGCCAGACAGTCAGGATGGGAACGGGCAGGGCTGGGACAGCCAATGAGGGGACTATGACAGCCAGAGTGGGGCACCTGACCCAGCCTTAGGTGTCAGGGAGAGGCCCAGAGGACAAGGAGAGTTGGCCGGTGGTCAGATTCCAGGAAGAGTCAGGCAGGACCACCTCTGGCCACTTCTCTGGGCAAAGCCCTGGGTCCCCCAGGATTACAGATGGGTAGACCTGGTTCCAGCTAAATGGACCATTAAATGGAAGGTCGGGGGCTGTGATGGGGAAGCACACAAGGCCTGGCCCAGACTGAATGCTGGAAGCCTCCCAAGGAAAGGCGTGCAGTCTGTATCCTGCCCAGAGGCTGAGCAGGTGTGAGGAGCTGAGGGCAGTGGCCCAGGCAAAGGGGACAGTGGATGCAAAGCAGAGGAGTGTGTGACCCACATAGAGTACAGCTGGTGGCAGTGGGCAGGGGCCACCCCTGCAACGCCAGGGGAGGAGCTGGGGATTTACCTGGAGGCCAGTCATGGCAGGACTTGCAACAGGAGTGGACAGGGTCAGAATCGTGTTTAGAAAGAACTTTTTAGTTGCTATGTGGTTTGGAGATCAGGGGAGGCTGGAGATGGGAAGTTCTGGTTCCACCCATTTTCTTGCCTTAGATTAGCTCTCCAGTCCCAGCTCTCTTCTCTGCCCACCTCCCTCTCCCACTGACCCATTCTCTGAGAAGGGACAGACCTTGGGGATGGGAAGGATTGGTCAGTCTGATGCCCATCCCCTGCCTTGTCAGAGGTGGCAGCGCCCTGGACTGAGGAGACAGTGAAGCAGTGTCTATACCTCTACCTGGCCCTCCTGCCTCAGAACCACAAGCTGATCCATGAGCTGGCAGCCGTGTACACTGAGGCCATCGCAGACATCAAGCGGACAGTGCTGAGGGTCATCGAACAGCCGGTGAGGCCCCTGGGCCTACCAGGCTCTGCCCACCCATGACTGGACTGAGCCTCCAGCTCCAGCCCTTCCCCCAGTATCTGCATCTCAGAGTGTGCTGAGCATGAAGGGGTGTCACCTATGCCAATGACGTGAGCTTGTGGGTGGTCCACACGCCGTCCATTAGTTTGTGAGGCAACAACAGGGCGGCCAGGCAGTTACAGTCTAGAGTTGGACAGAACGTGGATTCGTGTCCCACTTTTCACTTTCTCACTGCGACCTTGGGGCCCTTTAGTAAAAATGAGGAAGTTGTCTCAGTCCCCTCATGCTGTTGTAAGGAGTCTGTAGTCTCATGCACTTAAACATCTGTGTCCCTGTCACACATGAGCTGGCCCTCCCCTGTGTTGCCAGTGGGGACCTCTAGCTGCCATTACACACAGATAAGTCCCTCTGCCCCCCTTCTGGAGCCACAGGATTGCCCCCATGAGAAGCAGCTCGGCAAACTTGCACCTGTGGTTCAGAGTGTCTGCCCTTCCTCCCAATTTGCAGCTGAAACTACTTTTTTATATCTCTGTCCCTGATGTTTTTTGGTTATGGAAAACTTGCAACATAAACAAAAGGAGAGAGAACTGTATGTTCATCCCCTGTATCTGCCACCCAGATTCAGTATCCTTCCTTGTAAGACGGGGATAACAGGCTTTTATCAGAAGGAGGCAGAGATCTGAATCCCCGTTTCCAAGGCATGCCAAGTGGTTTGCAGAAAATGACCTTGCTGTACTGTGAGCTCCTCGAGGGCAAAGAGTGTCAGTGCCAGTCACAGCTGTAAACGCTTATTGGGCCAAGACAAAGCCAGCCCTGCTCTCTGTGTTTGGTGCTCACAGCAGGGCAGCCTCCCAAAGCCACACGGTTGAGCCCTTCCAGGCACAGAGCCAAGCTGAGCACATGTGAGAAACCAAGTCATGAAAGAGGGTGGGTGGAGAAAAGAAAAGGATGCTCCAAGTAGTTGGAGCACAGGTTGTGCATTATAGACTGCGTCAGGTCTGACAACCAAGAGGACAGCACTGGCAGACCCTGGGAGCTGGAGTGAGACTGGATCTGGATGAGTCTGGGTGGAAGAGGCCAGGAGCTTCTGACCTGTACCTCCCATTCTCCCCAAATGTCCCTCCTCTCCACACCCTGTCCCTAGTTCTCACCCCATGTCCCAGCATTCCCCACAGCCGCCCTGCTGGTGACACCTGTGCCCCCTGAGCTCTCATGTTGGGTCTAGTTACCCCTGTCTCTCCCTCTAGATCCGAGGAATGGGCATGAACTCACCAGAGCTGCTCCTGCTGGTAGAAAACTGTCCCAAGGGGGCAGAAACGCTGGTCACCCGATGTCTGCACAGCCTCACAGATAAAGGTGTCCCCCAGGGGCCCCGGTCTTTCCCCTTTTCCCCCTCTCCTGAGCCCTCCCCACTTCTCCTTCCCGGGCCCTGGGGACCAGAGTTGCTAAGTCTCTCCCTGCTCTTGTGTCTCAGGTTCTCCATCTGGAACAGTGTGATGCTAATAAGTGTGTGTGGAAACCAAGGGCCAAGGATCCCTTCTCTGAAACTGAGTTGCCCTTCCCTCCCATCCTCTTCCTTTGGTGCTCATTCTTACTTGTCCCTTTCCAACCCTAATGTGGTACTTCCTACTACTTCTACCCACAGTCCCGCCCTCCCCAGAGCTGGTGAAGCGGGTTCGGGATCTATACCACAAGCGACTGCCAGATGTCCGCTTCCTCATCCCTGTGCTCAATGGGCTGGAGAAGGTATGGATCTGGTGCCTGTCAGCCTCTGGGGCGTGGCAGGGCAGGGAGAAGCAACAAGCTTCTTCAGCTGTAGTTGAGCCAGAGGCAAATAAGAAAGGGAGCATATCTTGCCCGTGGTCAGAAATCTTAGAAACCACTGACACCCAGGTACTTGTGTAAAATGCTGAAGAGCACACTGCTGGGCTACAGAGACCAGCAAGCAGCCTGGGCTCTGTGTCAGTCCTCTCTGGTCTCAAGCAGCCTTGTTTTTTTGCCCATCAAATGAGGATCACAGGCTGGGCGCGGTGGCTCAGCCTGTAATCCCAGCACTTGGGGAGGCAGAGGTGAGTGGATTGCCTGAACCCAGGCAACTTGGTGCGACCTTATCTCTACAATAAATCAAAAATTAGCTGGGTGTGGTAGCGCATGCCTGTAGTTCCAACTACTTGGAAGACTGAGGCGAAAGGATCGCTGGATCCCAGCAGGTCGAGGCTGCGGTGGCCATGAGCATGCCAATGCACTCCAGTTGGGCAACAGAATGAGACTCCAACTCAAAAAAAAAAAAAAAGAGGATCACACACTTGGCACGGTGGCTCATGCCTGTAATCCCAGCACTTTGAGAGGCGGAGGCAAGAGGATTGCCTGATCCCAGGGGTTCAAGACCGGCCTGAGTGACAGTGTGATTCCAACTCAAAAAAAAAAAAAAAAAAATCAGCCGGGCTCGATGGTTCAGCCTGTAATCCCGCGCCTTT